CCTGAGGGGGGTGGATTGTGAGATCCTGGTATCCCACATCGGTTACGGAGGGGGGAGTTGCTGGGCTTATAAGTAAGCCTTCAGCCCTTACCTTGCAAGAGGCCTTTTCCCAGGGAACCCCTGGAGGAACAAACCCTTGAGGGCAGGGGAGGAGAACGGTGTTCCGTGACCCTGTGCCAAAGAGGACAATATCTTACTGGGTAGTGGGGGGGGGGGGGTGTTTACAGTCAACCCCTAGCAAACTACTAATGTCTTTCATACTTAGAAAATTATGCCTTCAAAAAGGCTTGGGCCTAGCAAAATGCTAGGGTCTTTCATACTTAGAATATTATGCCTCTAGAAAGGCTCGGCCCTTAGAAAATTGCTAAGGCCAATTATGCCTTAAAAAAAAATGCTTGGCCCCTAGCAAATTGCTAGGGCCTTACACACTAAGAATATTATGCCTACAAAAAGGCTCGGCCCCTAGCAAACTACTAGGACCTTATATACTTAAAAAATTATGCCTTTAAAAAGGCTCGCCATTAGCAAACTGCTAGGGCCTTCATACTTAGAATATTATGCCTTCAAAAAGGCTTGGCCCCTAGCAAATTGCTAGGGCATTTAATACTTAGAATATTATGCCTTTAGAAAAGCTTAGCCCCTAGAAAATTGCCAGAGCCATTGTTTATATAATTCGTCACTGTTATTTACTATTGGGATCTAAAAATTTGATATAATTTATTGATTTATAATGTTGTTTCATTGTAACAATTATATTAACACCAAATTTCAATGTTTAATATGATCCACTGTTAATTCTAGAGTTATAGTGGATTAGATAAATAAATCTATAATATCAAATGGGATAGATTTTAATAAATCTATCCGACGGTTTCAAATAAACTTATCAAATGACTACTAACATCTCTCACAAAACATTTCATATAGCACCATACGTTTTGACACGGGTTACCCCTAATTAGGTTACTAAATTAGATTTCAATATCACTGTTATGTTTTTCAATTTGTGTTGTGTCGTATCAAAAATTGACACGTGTCCCGGGTCCTACTTAGAATTGTAGTGAACGGAAGAAACTATGCTATTAGTCATTACCATCTGATCTGAAAAGAATGGGCGAGTATTTTACATGGATTACGGAAATACAAACGGTCATGGCTGGATTCAACCCCAAGGCAGCGGACCATTTACTTCCACCAATGCCTTTGTCTTTTTCCCAACAATACCCACATGATTCCATCTTGAAAAGAAAAGATTTTAATGCATACTTAGAAGCAAAACTCACTGAACCGTCCTCCATAAAAGGACACTTTTTTTGCCTTCTCTGGCAAACAGAGAGAGCGCTTGTATTTGGCTTTGCAGATTGCAGTCTTATTTATTATCAGATATGAGCTCAAGTGTCATTCATAGAATCTGGGGTCACAATGCATTTGCTTTCACTGAGCTTCAAGTTTGGATTCCAGCTATATGACTTCACTGTTACTGCTTCTGATTGCATTACCATATGACTAACAGAGCACAACGCTGTGACTATGAGCATGAGAGTGGCAATTGTAGTTTATAGGGGCTCTGTATGACTTTGCTTTTACCATTTCTGATTGTATTATCAGATGATGAAAATGAGCACAAAGATGTGACGATGTCTATGGGAATGGTAACTGTCATTGTGGTTATCTGTATGGAAGACTTTTCCAATTTCAGCAAGAAAAGTTGCAGCATGTATTGCCGACCCAATTCCCATTCACACCATCCCAACCTCTTGTAATTTCTCTACTTTATCTCCCTCTATCTGTGCAATAATTGTCTATATATTCATCCTGAGCAAGAGAAAAAGAACTAAGTGTGTATGTGTGTGCCTCTATAATACAAAACCTATTATAAACTCTGCCGCTTCCCCTGCTGGTACCTCGACCTCCATTATCAACATCACCTTCTTCTCTCTGTAATGGAAATGGATCAACAGTCACCATAAGAGATGCCCCAGTCACCTCCAGTACTAGCTTTACCTCCTCTTTCTCCTCCGAGTACTCAAGTAGTCATTTTGCACCACCATAGTTTTTCAAGAGCTGCAAAGATTATCATGACTTTGGCCGTCATTGCTGTATTGATCTGGCAGATTGCGGTTGTTCTAAGACACAGAATCGTCAGCTCTTGGTGCCATGACAAGATCATCGTTGCAAAAGAAGGGCGGGCGGGCTTTTCTTCTATAGCACCAGCTGCCAAAGTGGCCCAAAAGTACAGCCCCTAGAGATTTTATATTTTCATTAGAAGAGGGGTGTACAATGTAGAAATTTTTGTAGGGCGTGAAAAAACAAATTTGGTTTTCATAGGTGACAGTATTGGAAAGACAACTATTCAGTCCAATTGCGATATTGAAGAGGTCCTGGATAGTACACAACCAACCACCTTATGTGAGTTTCTAAATCATATTCAAATATTCATGTTATGGTTCCTATTTTTGTTAGTTGTTAACATGCTATTTCATGTTAAAAGTAAACATTATACACTCTATTAACAAATTTTTTGAATATGCAGCGAGAAGACATAAAGATGCTAGTGGAAAAATGGTGGAAAATATACATAGATGAGTCAGTTGGATTATAAGAACACATCAACGGATAAACAACAATTCCAGTTCATTCAGAGACTGGTATTCTTAGCTACATTATTGTGCCATCAGCAGCCTGACTCAATTTAGGACAAGGCTAGCTACTTCTACATTAGTTCCACTGGTTATGCTTTCTATCTATCATCAGGATAACCATTATAGGCTTAACTATATATATATACTATCGCCAGTCAAATAAGTATTAGCTCTCTATTAGGTTCAGGATTGCTTCCTTTAACGTGTGTTTATCTACTTCCTCAAACTGAGAAACTGCAACTAATATTCTCAATTTAACTATGTTGGTGTTCAATAGCAATTTACTGTTTTGGGTCATTTGCATGTATGAGCTAGGGTTGGTCTGTGGGAGCAATCATTTAAATAATCTGATGGTTAATGTTATGAATACCATGAGAGCAACATGACGACCTTCCGAGATGGAAGCTTTCGCCTATCTGTAGAGTTACTTTTCAATTAAGCAAGTGCAATGTCATATTCTTCTGCAATCATTCAATCTTAAATGTATGTTGCGTCATGTACTCCTCAGCGATCAGCGAGAGAGGGAAAGAAGGCAGGAGGTTTTTTGTTGCCAGAGGCAGGAGAGAGAGAGAGAGAGAGAGAGAGAGAGAGAGAGGAGCGCCTAAGTCTAATGAAGCCGAAGGTAAGAGAAGGATTTCAAATGTGGTTTTTAGCCGGACCAAGACGACGTCGTTTTGGTAAGGGTCAATAAAAATAAAATTTACAAAACACCGTAAAACGACGCCGTTCCACTTAACCGCGTGTCAAGCAGTTACCTCCTTATCACAGAGGAGCCGGACCCGGTCAACAATACATGCTGCAACTTTTCTTGCTGAAATTGGAAAAGTCTTCCATACAGATAACCATAATGACAGTTACCATTCCCATAGACATGGTCACATCTTTGGGCTCATTTTCATCATTTAATAATACAATCAGAAATGGTAAAAGAGAAGTCATACAGAGCCCCTATAAACTACAATTACCACTCTCATACACATAGTCACATCGTTGTGACTTGAAGCTCAGTGAAAGCAAATGCATTTGTGAATCTATGGCCTGAATTTCTGGAATTTTGCGAAAATTTTGTGATGCCATATATTTATTCAGTGCATTTGCTGTTGGATAGATGCTTTCACTTGCTAAAAAAAAAAAGAGACATCTTTTTTAAAATTTGGTTTTCTTTTTCTTAATAAAGGCTTCAATTTGAAACTCAATGCAATATGAGATTTGGTAATAACCGGTAGCCAAAATTACTGAGAACAGCTTCTATCATTGAAAAAGTAAAAGGGAGAAGAGTAATTACCGGCAAGTAAAAAAGATCTAAACTACGAATCTCCTTACATTTCAAAGCAATCAAACCCACATCCAGATCACTAATACGCAAACACCACTTTAAGCAAATCAGCTTCAATTTCTTACACCCCACAGCTATACACCCAACTCCAATGTCTGATATCAATTTACACCTTGCCAACCACAACCTCTCCAAGTTCTTAGCCTCCGCAATCGCTGCCGCTGCCGAGTCCATCAACTCGGTCCCATTTGACAAATCAATCTCAACCAAAGCTGAACAGTTCATGACCAAACTCGACAAACCCACATTTGTAAAAAATCTAGAACATGAAAGATCAATCGACAGCAATGTAGATTTGTAAGTTGTAGACATAATCGAAAGCATATCGTCCTCAATACGTGGACAGTAACTGAGATCAAGGCGAGATATAAAAGGGTATCTTTGCAGTGTTCTTGAGAGGAGATCGGCGCGAAGAGGCTTGAGGGTTTTGCGGTGACGCGATTCAATGGAGTGGAAGGATGTGCATACGAGAGAGAATGATTTTTTGCCTCGAGGATCATCCCCGAGGCTGTCGATGATGGAGAATACGATCTCATCGGTGAGAGCTTCCAATGGGTTTGTGAGAGTGGATTTCAGATGGGTTTGTGAGCTTCAAATCGTCCCCGAGGCTATGGATTTCAGTTGTGGTTTTATCCGGACTAAAACGACGTCGTTTTGATATGGGTCAATAAAACAAAATTCCAAAAATCAGCCAAACGCCGCCGTTTTATTAACCAGCATCTCTTGGGTAATCTCCTTGCCGCAGAGGAGCCGGATCCATTGTCAACCCAATTCCCATTAACATTATCCCAACCTCTGGTAATTTCTCTACTTTATCTCCCTCTATCTTTGCAATAATCTATAATAATGAGATAGAATTAATTTTGAAACTCTCGAAAAAGTACGAGAACGATTTAAATCACTCCCGCTCCTCTCACGTGCCTTCTCGCTCTTACCTCACCCCTCTCCGCCTCAATCTCTCATCCACTCCCCAAACTTCATCTCTCTCCCCCGTCTACCCACCCTCTCTCTACCCCCATCTCCCTCATATCTCTACCCTTCTCTGTGCTCCTCTACCTCTGTCTCTATCACCCTCATCTCTGTTCTTCCACCCCCATCTCAGTTGAAGCAAACCATCGCCAACAATAATGACGGCGATGCTTCCTAACCCTTAGCCGAAGCAAACCATCGCCAACAAATCAAGCCCATGATTTCCAACTGATTTTCTTTTGGTTATAACCAGATTTCTTAGAGAAGGCCAGCGCCACCACCACGACACCGGCATCTCTCTGAGGTAGTTTTCTTTCTCCCTCCCCACCCTTATTTCTGTCATCCTTTCTGGGCACAAACTACCCCATTGATGCCCTAATTTGCGTCTCCCCTCTTCTTAATTCTTTCATTCTCTCTTATTCCCTTCCCCATTTCTCTTCTCTCTCTCCTACGTCTGTAACCACACGACTCTATGTATCTCTGTCTCTCTCTTCGCACAACACACATATCGTATGCAAGGTGTTCGACCAAATGAACACAAGGTGTTCGATCAAATGACCCTAACACTCAACGCACAACACGCACGCCACATGCCACACAGCCCGCCCACACACACACACAGCCCCTATTTAGTCTGCTTAGATTTGTTATTTAATTTTTTTTCTCCTTTAATTTTTGTATTCATTTGATGCTAAGTTTTGGTTAAAGATGACTATTAATATTACTGTTTTTGTTCGTTTATTCTCATTTCAGTTTCAATCGAATGGAATATTTTGCCGTTGATTGGGTATAAGAAATGAATGTTGTTGTGGGTAGCTAAGGTTCTATACTTCGTCGATGCGCTGCCAATCATAGCTATCTAAGGCTTTATGCTTCTTCAATTTATGATTTGGGTACACTTTTAGATTGTTGATCAATTTAATAGTATTAATTTGTTTATGGGTGTGTTGGCATTTGGATAGTTTGGCAAAGTTTGATAGTTGATTTTAGAATTGAATCACTAAATGTTGTGTAACTTGGTGGATATTTAACCTATATTTTGATGTTTATAGGTGTTGTTAATATGCAAAGAATGTTTGGAGAGTTTGTATATGTTTGCAGGTTTTTAATTTAATGTTTTTCAATTGTGTTTTGAGTTAGTTATTGGAGGCAATGAAAGATTCATAAGATCATTTTTATATTCGAAATTTGATTTGTTTACTTTTTTTTTTTTTTTTGTCAATTGAATGGGTCAATGCACTTGAGAAATTCATAGGAAAGGGCTAGATATTTATCTTTTTACACAGACAATTGAATTACAGGATGCTCATAGCCAGTGTTATTTAAGGCGTTAAGCGAACCGAAGCGACCAAGGCTCTTAACGCCTAGGCGAGAGGCGAGAAGCGAAGCGAAGCGAGCAGTTAAAAAAATAAATAAATATTTTAGTGTAATTACTTATACACATCAAAGTTTTAATTTTATATATACTAAATATTTAAATACAAGTAAAACCATAAACATTTAAAGTAAAACCATAAACATTTAAATTAAAACAAACACTAATAATATTGCAAATCTTAATAACAGTCATAGTTTAAACATTTTAAATTCATACAAATACTAATAATATCCCAAATCCTAATATTTAAAAACATAAGACACATAATTCAAGCAACTAAAGAAAATATCTGAAGGACTTAGAAATCAATCCTCATCACTAAAGAAACCATCTTCTTCATTATCCTTAGATTCATATCCCTCAGTATCCTCCTCCTCTGCCTCATCTGAAATTATGTCTTCCTCATCTGTGAGTTCAGTCGTCGATCTTGTAAACCTTGGTGTTACCCTAGTAGATGGTATTGATCTAGTCCGTTGGCTACTTTCCGTAACTCCAGAAGCTCGAGCGACTTCGCCCCAAGTCAAAGTATCATCACCAAACACAAGCTCATTATCTTCATCTGTGTCTGCATCCATTCTCCCAATCAACCACTCATTGCTATCATCAATATCCTTCAAAGATATTGGATCAATTGTGTCACGAGAATCATATCGGCGCCTCAAAGCTCTATTATACTTAACAAACACCAAATCATTGAGACTGGATTGAGCTAGTCTATTTCTTTTTTTGGTGTGTATCTGCAATAATTTATTAACAATACATTAAAATTTATAATAAGATTAAAAAAAAATGTAATTGAAGAGGTTTGAGGATGATACTTACATGCTCAAACACACTCCAATTTCGCTCACAACCGGATGCACTACAAGTAAGGTTTAAAACTTTTTTTGCAAAGGTTTGCAAATTTGGAGTTGCAGACCCATATGCACTCCACCAATCAGTTGTGAATAATGAATAGCAATTAATTAACTAACATATTTAAGCAATGATAATGAAATAAGCTTGTGGGATAACATAGATTACCTGGTGCCCTAGTTGTTCTTTGTCTAACCGCCATGGGCAACTTAAAGAGGTTTTCACCTTTCATGTAAATACTCAACTCTTGACCAATTTTATCTTGTATCGCAGGATTTGAGACCAACTTTTCCAAACATTTATATAGGTCATTCATGACTTCTTGATCTTCTCAACTTTGGATTGGAATAGAAAAACTCTGGGTTCAAAAAATACCCAGCTGCATGCAAAGGCCGATGCAATTGAACTTCCCACCTTCGGTCAATGATTTCAAAGATGTGTTTGTACTTCTCTTCATTGCCATTAAAAGAATTAGCAATCGCTTCTTTAGCCCGGTCCATAGCTTCATAAATGTACCTCATGGGAGGCTTTTTCTCACCATCAACCAATCGAAGCACACGGACAAGAGGGCCAGTAAGCTTAAGAGAGTAGACAACATTACTCCAAAATGAAGGCATTAAAATGATTTGTGCTGTCCTTTGCCTTGTTGTTCTTTTGCCCATTTGCTTGTAGTCCATTCCTCTGAAGTGAACATTTTTCTCAAGTTACCTTTTTGGTGATCCTTGTTAGCGTAAGAAAAGCCGTAGCAAATCTAGGTTTTTGCGGGCTTAATCAACTCCCTTGACTGGGTAAATCGTCTCATCATATTCAACAGAG